TTTTTTTTCTATTCTTATCCTGAAATGAACAGCTTAAAGCCGTATAGGGTAAATGCTATGTTTAGCATGCTAATTTTGCTGAATCTGTTTGTAACAACTGATGACGTAGTATGAGCTTAAAATAGTTTTCGATAATTTCCTGGGTTCATTCTAGCGAAACTCGATATTTTCCAAAAAATTACAAACTCCAAAAAACGTTTAGCTTCATAAAATTTATGCGAAAATGAAGTCTCTACAATTATCAACTACTATTCTTTTACTTACTTATGTCTTCGTTAAACGCTTAGCAATCGCTTTTTTCCCCATAAAAGTTGATCTTTCCTTTCAAGGTATTCATTTGTAAAATTCCCTTTCTGTTCCTTTTGTAAGATTTCATGAGTGTCTTTCAATAATTTCAGGCTCTCCACCTTTCGTGAGAAACTCGCCTTGGCTACTGTTTTGTTTAGCCTACTCAAGTATTTGTACTTCATTTTATTTCATCTATGTGGTGATGATACGTTCACGTTTCCCAAAGTTAGAAGTACCAGGACTTGCTTTTCATGAGTACTTCTTCAAAACAACCCGTAAATATGCTGACGACGTTGCTATGGTGAGTACAAAGTTGGGTATTTTCCTTTTTTCTCTTTTTTAACAGAACTTTAGTTCACAAGCTGAACTTTCAAGCAAAATTCATAAATTCTGTCTTTTGTCATCGTGGGCAGTACTGAACAAAAGCTGTTGCGCAACATAACATCACATTGTATGGGTTGTTTGCCATCACAAACATGGTTTCTTGCTGTTTTCTGATGATCAAAAACCATTACGACAAACAAGATTGCGTGTTTTTATTGGCTAGCAAAGGATTGGAATGTAACCAGTGGTTTATCTTAATGTTGCCATCGGGAGATTGTGTATTTTAGGCAGTTGACCGTGATAATCTGGGTAATGCTCAACAAGCTTATCACTGTAATCTTTAATGAGTGACATGTAATCGTCCAAAAAAAGTAGCTTGCAAAAAGAGCATAGCAAATGGCGGTAAAGTAAATTTACCATTTTCTAAATACTATGATTTGTAGATCTGTCAAATTTCTTTGTAAAAGAATTGAGAGGTTTGGTTCCATAAA